CTCTGTTGCCCAGACTGGAGTGCAGTGGCCACTCCCAGCCACCGCAGCCTCAATCTGCTGGCCTCTGGTGATCCTTCCGCCTCAGCCTTCCAAGTAGCTGGAACTACAGACGCGCGCTACCACGTCCGGCTAGTTTTTGACTTATTGTAGAGATGAGGTCTCGCCAAGTTGCCCAGAACCCGGGGGCTCAGGCAATCCACTCACCTCGGCCTCCCAAAGCGCGGGATTATAGGCTAGCCACCGAGCCCAGCAAGGAGTGGTGATTTTCAAACAGTTCTGGGGTGCCCTGGTATCCCGCAGAGAGGTCATCTCTCACGTTTGAGGTGGAGGCTTTGGGGCTGGGCCCTGGGTCCTTCTCCAACTTCAACCAAAGCAGCTCACCTTTGATCTGTTTTTTGTTTGTTTGTTTCATTTAAAATTATTTTATTTTTATTTTTTGAGTCAGGGTCTCACTCTGTTGCCTAGGCTGCAGTGCAATGGCATGGTCACGACTCACTGCAACCTTGACATCCTGGGCTTGACCGATCCTTCCACCTCAGCCACCCGAGTAGTTGCAACTAGAGTTGCATGCCACACAGCCAGCTAATTTTAAAATTTTTTGTAGCGATGAGGTCTCAGTATGTTGCCCTGGTTGGTCTTAAACTCCTGGGCTCAACAATCCTCCCACTTCAGCCTCCCAGAGTGCTGGATTATAGGCATGAGCCACTGCTCCCAGGCTTTGATCTGTTTTATAGAATAGAGTCTGTGGAGAATTTTTGCTAGAAACAGAACAACAACATAGTATCATAGTATTTCATTAACTCTCTATCAGGAAAGCATTTGGCTGCAAGCAACCAAAAACTTACCGGTGACTTCATACAAAAGGCTTTATTTTTCTTGCATTCCATGAAGTCAGGGGGTAGGCACCCCTGGAATGGGCTCAGCAGAACCTATGCACAGTGCCAGCAGGACCTCAGACTCTGCTGTCTGTAGTGAGTTGGCTGTTGTTGTGCCTCGTGTCATAAGATGGTGGTCATCACTTTGTATGTGACCTCCAGGTTCGAGGTGGGAAGAAGGGGAAAATGGTCAGGCCAACTGTGGTGCCGTTATCAGTAAGTCAGATGCCTTCCCAGAAGCCCTGGGTGGACTTCTTTCTTCATCTCATTGGCCGGAACTGTGTCACGTGGCCACCCCTCGCTGTAGGGGAAGCTGGGGAAGAGGGTGCATTGCTTTCGCAGCCTCTGCAGAGGAGGAGGACAGAGGAGAGGGGTTGGGAATGGGTGTGGGGTGAGCCAGTGCACGGTATCTTTCGCAACCTCCACCTGGCAGGCAGGACCGATCTTTAACCCAGTTTTACAGATGAGAAAACGGAGTCCCATGAGCTAGCTCCACATTCCCTGTGGTTAGGACTTCTCCACCTCGTGGATGTTTGGGACAAGATCCCACCTCGCTGTGGAGACTGTCCTAGGCGTTGCAGGCTGTTCGGCACCATCTCTGGCTTCCATTTACTTAGGCCAGTAACACATCCACTCAGTAGTGACAACCCCAAATGCCTCCAAACATCACCAAGTGTCCCCGTGGTGAAAAATCACCCCCAGGTGAGAACCGCTGTGCTATGACAAAGCTCAGCCCTAGATGGCCCAGTGCCCAAGGTTTACACAAGTCTTTTGAAATCAGATGGACTGATTTCATCGACAATAAAAGAGGTGCAGAGAGGGAGAGTAAACTTGCCCAAGGGCACACAGTAATATATCTCTGCACTCCCAGCCCAGTGCTCTTTATACTGCCCTACAGTATTTCATTGGGGATCAAGTGGTTTCTCATTCCCCCACCCCCGTGCAAATTCCACCCCTCCCCTTTTCTGGCTTCAGTTTAGTGACCTCCAGTTGCTGCCTGGCAGCATGTAGGGTGAGTGTCCCCTCCAAGCTCTGCTATGACGGCCCCCCTGCTGCCTTCTCCTTCCCAACCAAGTGTTTCCTGATCCTCCTTGCCGGAAGAGGTCCTGGGCATGGCCCAGCAACCTCTGCGTCCCCTTTCCCTCCACCGAGCAAGAGCACCTCAAGTGTTTGGTGTTTGTTGAGTGCCCTTGTATGGAGGTCCCAGTGCTGTGCTGGTGGCAGACTCTCCAGGGGGGAGAAAAACCGAACTCTGACTTGTGGTGTTTGCTGATTTCTGTGGTGTGAACACTCCCACCGTGGCCAATTTCAAGCTACCAAGACCTTCCTGAGTGTGGAAGAAACGCTCACAGGTCTGAGCCAGTTCCAACCCAGCCCTGACCAGCCCATGCCAAGCGCTTTGCTTGTGTGATGTCACCACATCCTCACTCCCCGGGGTGAGGCAGGGGACAACATCACCCTCACTTTACAGAGGGGGATGCTGAGACTCAGGAAGGTTCTGCTTCTTGTGTGGGGCTAGGCCGTTAGGTGAACGGCACAGCCCAGCTAGGAAACTTGGTCTCATCTACAGGTTTGTTTTTTTTTTTGAGTCTCACTCTGTCGCCCAGACTGGAGTGCAGTGGCCGCTCCCGGCCACCACAGCCTCGACCTGCTGGGCTCCGGCAATCCTTCCGCCTCAGCCTTCTGAGTAGCCGGAATTACAGGCGTGCACTACCATGCCCGGCTGATTTTTTGATTTATTGTAGAGATGAGGTCTCGCCTGCCCAGGCGGGTCTCGAACCTGCGGGCTCGGGCAATCCACTCACCTCAGCCTCCCAAAGGTGCGGGATTACAGGCTGAGCCACCGAGCCCGGCTTGGGCTCCTGTATTCTGAGTGAGCTTTCTCTTACTCCACCCTGCTGGGGTCCCAGCACCAGGAACAGGACTTAGGCTGTGTCTGTGCCACCCGGGACCTGCCTGAACTTTGCAGTTGTGGCTTGGAAGGAGGGCTGTGACCTTTGGGGGTTTCTGTTCTGCCTGGCTCTAGCCACCGGCAGAGGGGGTGGGCCACAGCCCAGAAAAGCCCTGTCTGGGGAGGGGGAGTTGTGAGAAGTGACATTTGGATGTCCTCCCTTCTCCCAGGGCTAGGGTGGGGGTGGGCAACAGCCAAGGTCAGACCACCTCAGTGAAGGGTCAGCAGGAACTCGAAATGCCCAAAACTGGGGAGCCCAGCCCGGCATGGGGTGGGGGCGGAGTGTCTGGGGAAGCAAGAGACTGTGGTGAGCAGCTCCAGCCCTGGCACACTGATTGTAGCTCTTCCTATTCCTGTCCTGACCTGCTCTTTGAGGCTGAGGACTCACCCTCTTTGGGCCTCTGTGACCTCTGAGAATGGCTTGCATAGGACCCTTCCAGCCTGGACTGAGGCTGTAGCTAGCCTTGGGGAATTGAGGGTGTGTGTGTCATGGTCACAATCAGGTATTTGCAAAGCCACAGCATCGGTGGGCAGGGCCAGGAGCTGGGGACTATGGTGATTGGCCAGAGAGGGGCGGACCCAGGGAAGAACCAAAGTCCTCCCGCTTCTGCTCAGAAGACAGCAGGAATTGCACTCCCTCTGGAGGGAGACTGGGGGTCCCAGCCTTTCCTGGGTGCCTGTGCCACCCACTCCACCTCTGCAGCAAACACCGCCCCTCTACCTCTTCACCTCCTCCTGTGGTGTGGTGAGTCCCACCAGCCCTCCCTGGTCTCCATCCTCATTTTATCCAGGACCTCTCTCGTCCTGAGCAAGCCAGGGGCCAGGGTAACCATGGAGAACGTGGCCCCTGCCATCTTTTTCTGGGATCAGCGAGCCAAAGCAAGGTCTCGAGCTGCTGTATGATCAGTAAGGACAGACACAGCATTGGTGGGGTCTCCGGCTGCTCTTCCAATGGGTGTCTGGAAATGCAGCCCTTGTCTTTTTTTTGTTTTGTTTTTTTGAGTTGGAGTCTCACTCTGTCGCCCAGACTGGAGCACAGTGGCCGCTCCACTGCAGCCTCGACCTACTGGACTCTGGTGATCCTTCCGCCTCAGCCTTCCAAGTAGCTGAAACTACAGGCGTGCGCTACCACGCCCGACTAATTTTTGATTTATTGTAGAGATGAGGTCTCGCCAAGTTGCCCAGGTGGGCCTTGAACCCGCCGGCTCAGGCAATCTACTCACCTCAGCCTCCCAAGGTGCGGGATTACAGTCTGACCCACCGAGCCGGGCTCAGACCTTGTCTTGAGCCTCCAGAGCTGAAACCGCAGATACCCAGGAAATGCATCTGGGATTTAGCACAACTATACCACATCCTGTGTCCTTGGGCAAGTGACTCAAGCATTCTGTGCCTCAGTTTCCACATCTGCAAAGTAAGGGTAACAGGGCTGTTGGAAGAATCAATATAGATTGTGTCTGGAGGGTCTTCAGCCCAGTACTTGGTGTTGGGTTGTGCTTAAATGTCAATGGATATTATTATTATTATTATTATTATTATTATTATTATAAGGGAAAAAGCCATCAGGAGACGTTACAGAGCAGCCTGGGGCAGACTCTGGAAAGGGAGCTTCTGCCAGCAGAGGGGCCCAGGTGAAAGGGTTCCCTGTGAGGACTGACTGCTTAACCACCAGGGCCAGCACACTTTTTCTGGAGAGGCCAGAGAGTAGCAACCTTAGGCTCAGTAGCCCATGTGGGCTGGGACGGCCAATCAAACCTGCCTCTGTAGCAGGAAAGCATCTGTAGAACGTATAGACACAACGGGAGTGCTGTGTTCAGTAACTCTTTGATTATGGACACTAAAACTTGAACTTCACATAATCCCATGTGTCACAAAATACTTTTCTTGAAAAATATCTTTTTCCAGCCAGGCTCGGTGGCTCAGCCTGTAATGCCACGCTTTGGGAGGCTGAGGTGAGTGGATTGCCTGAGCCCGTGGGTTTGAGACCCACCTGGGCAACTTGGCGAGACATCATCTCTACAATAAATAAAAAAATCAGCTAGGCATGATAGCGCACGCCTGTAATTCCAGCTACTTGGAAGGCTGAGGTGGAAGGATCGCTGGAGCCCAGCAGGTCCAGGCTGCGGTGACCAGGAGCATGCCACTGCACTCCAGTCTGGGCGACAGAGTGAGACTCCAATTCAAAAAAAAGAAAAAGAAAATATCTTTTTCCAGCTGTTTAAAATGTGAAAACTGGTCAGGCACAGTGGCTCACACCTGTATTCCCAGCAGTTTGAGAGACCAAAGCAGGTGGATTACTTGAGCCCAGGAGTTCAATACCAGTCTGGACAACATAGTGAGACTGCCTCTCTACAACAAATTATTTGGGCATGGTGGTGCCTACCTGTAATCCCAGCTATTTGGGAGGCTGAGGCAGAAGGATTGCCTGAGCCCAGGAGGTTGTGGCTGTGGTGGCCTTGAGGGTGCCATTGCACTCCAGTCTGGGCAACAGAGTGAGACCCCGACTCAAAAAATAAATACATAAGTAAAATGTGAAAACCATCCTTTGTTCATAGGCTAGATGAAAATAGATGGCAGGCTGGATTTGGCCATGGGCAATCCTTTGCCTACTTCCGAATTAACAGACTCCTGTCTGGAGCTGACTGTGTTCCAGGCATTGTTTTAAGATCTTTACAAATATTCAGCCACTTAATCTTCATAGCAATGAGGTAGGTTGTTATTCTCCTTTTGTAGATGATAAAAATGGAAGCACAGAGAGATAAAGCAACTTGTTCAAGATCACACAGCTACCACACAGTGGTAGAGACACAATTGCCCTCTGTGGTCTGGATTTAGAGTCTGTGCTCTTGGCTGCGAGTCTGGGCCTTGTCTCCCTGTACGAACGGGGTAACCATAGGAAAGTCACTTTCCTTCTGTTTCCTGATGCAAAATGAGGGTGAAAATCCTGCCCCACCTCTAAGACTGTGTGGTGAACAGAAACACAAAACCACGGAGAATCACGCCTCCCCAAAAGCACTGTGTGTGGAAAGAATGTGGCATGTGACAGAGCGTCATGTAAACTGTCAAGTACTGAGGCAGGAGGTGCAGATGGTGGTGTGTGGGGGGGAGGGGAAGAGGAGCCGGCTGGTGAGCTGACAGCTCTCTCTCTCTCTGTCCGTACAGCCTCACCTGCCCGCCAACAAGGCCCTTGGTGCGCCGGGCTCTGAGCAGCAGCACCTGCTGACCACAGCACCCAGCTCCAGCAGCAGCTCCCTGGAGAGCTCGGCCAGTGCTTCAGATGGGAGGGCACCCACCAGCAGCCAGCCGCAGGCACTGGGCGCAGAGAAGGCTGGTGGCTCCGGGGATGCCAGGGCCAGCTCCGGCAGCTCAGGTAAGAGGCGGAGCACACCTAGCTGGGTTCTCCCCGCTTCCTTTGTCCTCCCTGAGGGCAGGGCAAGGTTGAACTACAGGGAATTTCCCTTCTCATCTTTGCCCACGCTGGTCTCTTCACCTGGGACACCCTTCTTTCTGCTGGACGATCCCAACTGGTCCTTTGAGTCCACAGTATCCAGGTGGCGAATTTTCTTTTTCTTTTTTTTTGAGTTGGAGTCTCACTCTGTTGCTCAGGCTGGAGTGCAGTGGCATGCTCACGGCCACTGCAGCCTCAACCTGCTGGGCTCAGGCAATCCTTCCACTTCAGCCTTCCAAGAAGCTGGAACTACAGGCATGTGCTGCCACTCCCAGTTAATTTTTTGTTTTATTGTAGAGGCGAGATCTCGCCAAGTTACCTAGGCCGGTCTCGAACCCCTGGGTTCAGGCAATCCTCTTGCTTTCACCTCCCAAAGTGCTGGGATTACAGGCATGAGCCACCACACCCAGCCACGAGTTTTCCTGAAACCCTGTCCCCACCACCCCTTCTGGACTGGCTGTTTCTCTGAGCTTGCCAAGCCCTCCCTTCCCTTCCGGAAGATTGTCAGACTGTGGGTGTCTACAGTCTTGTCTCTTCTGTAAGATTGTCAGACTGTGTGTGTCTACAGTCTGTCTGGGGTTGGGGTAGAGGAACTCCTGGTCAGCCCAGATGATCTCATTCACACCTGTATCTGCAGACCCAGCCTTGTGCCTGGCTAATAATAATTACCAATAGTAGCTTCTACCTACCAAAGTCTCCTGGTGTATCACTACTGTGGCACAATACTGGGCATTTTATATGCATAAAATTACCCTGCATGTCAACACTAAGCAATAGTTACTATTTTTAGCCAGGCATAGTTCCGTGTGCCTGGAGTCTTAGCTACTCGAGAGGCAATCGCTTGAGTCCAGGAGTTCGAGACCAGCCTGGGCAACATGGCGAGACACTGTCTCTACAAAAGAAAATCAAAAAAGGAAAGAAAAGGAGATTGTTACTATTTGTTACCTCCATTTTGTAGAGGAGGACCTGAGGCCCAGAGAGGTTAAACAGCTTGTTCAAGCATACACAGCTAGTAAATCCCCCTGGGCTTTCAGTCTCCTGGGCCTGGGATTGGAACATGAATGGAGAAATGATGCCTCCAGGGCTCTACTCACTGACCTGTGGCTGGGTCCCTTTGGGTCTGAGGCAGCAGGATTGAGGGCACTGTGTCCTATTTGTGCAGACTGCATTTTGCTCCATATCCAGTCTGTGACAGGTGTCACCCTTGGCTGGCATCTCTAGTGCCCACCTTGGAGGAACCCCTGTTAGGGGTCCCTCAGAAATCCCAGGGTTTCCTTGGGTTTGTTTAGTAGGGGAGAGGTCCAGTCTACTGGCCTGGGTCTCTCCCTCTCACCTAGCAGCACCAGCCAGTGGGATTTCAGGGAATGATCATGAACTTGCATCATTCCTAGATCCTTGCCCAGCCACACCGGTGCCATGAGTATCCAAGTTTGATCCTTAACCATGCCAAGCCTCTGTTTCCTCACCTGGAAATGAGCTATGGCACCTCCTTGCCAGGGCTGATGAGACATGAGTGGCATTGTGCCCTGCTTGGCATCTGACCAGGGTCAAGGTCCCTCTGGGTGGCCTTCAGGCAGGGACTGACCCCTACTCCAAGTCCCCCTCCAGCTCATCCTCCTCTGCTCCACCCCTACCTCTTGCTGTACACACTGCAATACCCGTTCCTACCTGTCACCTGACTGCCCACAGGAGCCCTCCTCTGTCTCATCCTAGCCCACCCACCCCCATGGGGGCCTTATCAGTGCCCCTCCCTCCTTGAGAGAGGGCCTGGGTCAGTGCTTGGAACAGAGCAGGAAGCCCTAAAGGTTGTTGAATGAATGAATGCACGCTGAACATAAACTCTTGGTCTTTGTCCAACCCTTGGATTCATCTTTCTGATCTCTTAGCTTTCCCTGGTGTGGCTTCCTCCTTGGCCCTGGAGTGTCTACATGTCCCCTATGCCCCCTCCTTAGTGCCCCTCCCCAGAGCTCTTCGGCCCATCTCCCTGGCTTCTGCAGGCCTCTGCCATCTGCTCCTCTCCCTCCCACCCCAATACCTTCTTCCTCTGTGGGAATCTGTAAACCCCAGGGCTGTGTCCTTTTGTGGTTCCCCACCCGCCCCCTCGATGTCTCATGTATGATGTACAAAGCCCACAGTGACTTTGGGGTGACATTTGGGTGCTGTGCAGGCTCAGAGTGGAAATTTCCTTCTGGCCCTGTGATCTCAGCCCTGCCCCCTCCCCAGCCTGTTTGGGGCTGTCTTATATGCAGCAGCTCACTGGCTCCATCCCAGGTCTCCCACATTCCTGGAGTCCAGGGAACCGGACTGGGACAAGGATTAGGCAACTAATAGCTCCATTGTGACTGGGCAATCAGCAGGGTCCTGCAGTCACAGTGGCAGCAGCAACAAGGTCTTGCTTTGTTACCCAACTGGAATGCAGTGGTGTGATCATAGCTCACTGTGACCTTGAATTTCCGGGCTCATGCAATCCTCGCGCCTCAGCCTCCCAAGTAGCTGGGACTACAGACATACACCGCTGGATAATTTTTCTATTTTTTTGCAGAAAGAGCGTCTTGAGCCGGGCTCAGTGGCTCAGCCTGTAATCCCGTGCCTTTGGGAGGCTGAGGTGAGTGGATTGCCTGAGCCTGTGGGTTCGAGACCCACCTCGGCAGCGAGACCTCATCTCTACAATAAATCAAAAATTAGCCGGGCGTGGTAGCGCGCGCCTGTAATTCCAGCTACTTGGAAGGCTGAGGTGGAAGGATCGCCGGAGCCCAGGAGGTCAAGGCTGCGGTGGCCGGGAGCGGTCACTGCCCTCCAGTCTGGGTGACAGAGTGAGACTCCAACTCAAAAAAAAAAAAGAAAGAGCGTCTTGCTATGTTGCCCTGCCTTGTCTCAAACTCTTGGCCTCAAGCGATCCTCCACTTCAGCCTCTCAAAGTACTGTGATTACAGGTGTGAGCCACCATGCCCAGCTGAGCAACTAACATTTCTTGAGGGCCTACTGTGTTTCAAGCCCCTTACTTTCATCTCATCCACCCCCTGCTTCCTCACCAACTGGTTAGGACACTTAACTGCCCACAAGGGCTGTGGGGAAAGGTGGGGCAAACCTTGGACCCCCTGAGGCTAGCTCTTCTGTGTCTGGCTTCTGAGAGAAACCATAAATATAAATTTGAAAATGTAAGTGCCTGAGTTGCAAACATTGACAACAGATTTGCTTAAAAGCCCTGCTCCCAGGAGAACAAGACATCCCCGTGGGCTGGTTTTTACTCATTCAACACTTGGCCCCATTACAGGCACTAGGAATAGAGCAGGAAGCAGTCAAAAAGTCCCTTTCCTCCTGAGCTCTGGGTCTGGTGGAGGAGGCACAGATAAGCCAGGCAGGAGGTAGGGGCCCTGGGGATCACAGAAGCAGGAGTGACCCAGGGAGTGATAGGTGGGACCAGAGGTAAATGTCTCTAGCGAGGGAGGCTGGGGGGCTTCTTGGAGGAAGTGGCCTATGAACTGAGGTCTGGGTGACAGGAGGGAGTGAGCTAGGGAAGAGCTCCCTAAGCCGAGGGAGCAGCGTGTGCAAAGGTCCTGTATTAGTCTGTTTTGCATTGCTCTGAAGGAATGCCTGAGGCAGGATAACTTATGTACAGGGTCAGTACGCCCATTTTACAACTGGGAAAACTGAGGCTCTGAGAGGGTACGTGACTTGACCAAAATGAGGCAGGCAGAGTAGGGACTGGAGCCCAGGGTTGTTAGACTGCGAGCACTGGGCATTCTCGCCTCAGCAGTGAAGGCAGACTCCCACCCAGCCCCATTCTGGAATCCCAGATTTATGAAATCCTACAGGCAGCTCTACTTGGAAGAAAACAGTTTGCCACGAATGGAGACAACATCAGGGTCAGCATTTAATCTCCCTAAAGGAACCATTTCTAGGCCTTTCCATGTCGATCCTGTGGCACGCGGATAATGTGCCACGACAGAGGGGTCTCGCCTTTCCAAAGCTGGTGTGGCGGGGCTGGCAACTCACACCATCTTCCGTGCTGGGCCGGCGCCCCCAGCCAGCGCTTCCTGTGCCCGCCCACCTCTCTGGTTCTTGGGAGGGAGCATGTTTTGTTACTCGAGCGCTTTCATCTGCTTTGTGTGATCGGCTCCTACCGTCCATGGGGTGATTTGGGCTGGGTAGGTGCTAACGCTGTTTTTAGGTGGCAGGTGAGGAAACTGAGGCACACAGGTTAAGTGACGTGCCCAAGGACACACAGCAGAGCTGGCTAGAATCCTGGTCTCCTGGCTCCGAGCCTACGTCTTAATCTGCCTCTTGACCTGGGGACAGGCCGTGAGGACATCCCCTACTCTGAGACCCCTGGACTGATGCCCTCTCCCATCTTGTGCTCAGCAGAATCTTCCCCTGGCGGCCACGGGACCCAGGTCAATGTCACCTGTATCGTGAATGTCTGCAGCAGCTCTGACCATGGCTCACGGTGCTCCTCCCAAGCCAGCTCCATGATGGGGGACCCGGACGCCAGCCCCTCGGGCTCCCCGAAGAATGATCAGGTCCCCTTCTCCAAGGAGGAGTGTGCCTTCCAGTCCCAGCTAGAGATCCCAGAGACTCTGCTGCAGGGCCCCGAGGAGAAACCCTTGCCCCTTGGCGTGCCTGATGCTGGCATGAAGACCAGTTAGCCCGGCTGTTTTGGGCTGTTCCATAGCCGAGTGAGTTGACCCCTGGCAGTGTGGCCCTGAGAAGGGGCCCGGTTTTTTCAGGCTCCCGCCCCAGGACTCTGGCTCTTTCTGGGCCGAGTTCCTATAGTGCCTCCACCACCCCAGCCTCACTCGCCTGCAGGCCGAGGGACAAGACAGCAAGTTATGAAGCCTCCGCTGTCCTGGTGCGTGTCCCTCTCAGAAGGTGGGCCAGCCCAGGGTGAATCCCTGCATCTCTGTGACCCGCCCCCTAGCAGGACCTGCAAGCTTGGCTTCTGGAGCCCTTGCTGTTGTGTGTGTGTGTTTTAACCCCTGGGCTCTGACCTGGCTCTGGCTTCTAGAAAAGCCCAGCATTCCTCTCTGCAGTGGGGCTTGCTGGGAAGGAGGGATGCTATGTGAGTCACCCATGAAGAAAGGACAGTGCTTCAGCCTGAATGCCGAGACTGCAGGCCAGTTCCTGGGGACAGGGGAGGAGGAACCATCAGGTGGTTCTGTGCAGGGCAGAGGTGGCGACCCCACGAGGAATGAGGGTCCCTCAGGCTAGCTCAGGACCCTTGGGAAGCACTTCCACAGCCACTTCTGCTAGCTCATCCTTTTGTACCATGGGGTGAAAATCAGATGCCCAGAGGGCCCCGGTAGGCAACCTTACTCGGGCCTGGGCAAGATGACATACTTCTAACCTGAAGTCTTCCCATTGTAATGTGACAATTTTTAAAAAGTGGTCAAATTTTTCTAAGATGCAAGAAAACAAGCTAACAACAAACAAAGCCAGACTCTGGGGGCCTCATGTGGTCCCTCATCTGCTGTTTGCATCCTCTGCCTTTGACCTTCATTCCAGCACAGCCCCAGCTCTGACCGCCCCCCCTGCTGTCTGGTGTGGTGTTTCAGGGCCACACCTTCTATCAGATAATTTCAGGAATTGGAGATGGCCGAGGTCCCCGCCGCCATCTCTCGCCTCCTACCTCAGCCTGGACCTTCCTCCTGCCTCTGGAGGAGTATGTCCCCCCACCCCGACCCCAGGGGGCTGCCAAGCCCCTGGGTATGTGGCCACTGTGATCCTGAGTGTTCGTCTGATGTCTGTATTGTGTGTTGTGAGTCTGTGTAGCCAAGCTCATGAAGTTGAACGGCCTGCCTTAAAGCAGCTGAAGCCAGCAATTTTGCCAAGAGATTCTTCCCTATTAGAGAGTGAGCCCCCTCCCCTCTTCCCCAGACAGATACCCAGGGCTCTGCAGAGGGCGAACAAGTATGGCCTTGACCAGATTCTGGAAGGAAGGGGAATGAGGGACTCCTTGAGAGGCGGGCTCAGTCTCAGGTGCTTGGATCCCTCCTTGACAACTTCCACTGGACTTGAGCTTGGCAGCTGAACTGTTGGGGGGAGGGAGGCGGGCTCAGCGGTTACCACGGAGACAAGGAGGGTTTCCTACCCTGGAATCGAGATGTCAGGCTGCCTGGACGGGCCAGGACTTGGCCCACGTTGGACACTGTGGGGTGGATGCGATGGAGTGCGTCTGCCCCCTGGTGGACGGTCCTGAGGGGCCCCCCCCCCCAGGCTTCCTTGGTGTCACCAAGCAGAGCAGGGAAGATGAAAGGAAGGAGGCTCTTTCTCTTTGACCTCATTTCCCTGCTTGTATTGATCCCAAGACAGTGAATGTTTGCACTGTATGCTGGACAGAATTCCTGCTTTAAATAAACCTTCTGTTTGTCTTGCACATTGATTACACCAGCTCTGGCTGGTATCTGGGCTGGGGTTTGTTCGTGGTCCTGCTTGCCTGTTGCCAATGTGTAGGGGGAGATGGGGTCGTGGTCACTAGGGTCCGGAGGGTCTGTGTTGTGACTGGACACCAGAGGCAACCCCATGGCAGCCACTTCTTCAGGCCTGTGAACAATAAGAACTTGCTGCTCAGGGCCTCCCCCCGATCTGGTCCCAGGTGCGTCCTAGTCTCATGCCCTTGTCCCCCGGGTCTCCTCGGCCTGCTCTGGGGGATTGGGGCGGCATCTCTGCAGGTCTGCAGATCCCAAGCTGGCCTCCTAATTCATGGGAGTGAGGCCCTGGAGGCCCCTCTCTGGGACAGCAGCCACCCCTCAGAGGCCCATACTCAAATCAGCATGGGGCTCTAGGGGCATAGAGGGCCCTGGATCAGGGAAGCATTCTGGTGTTGACTTCTGACCTCTTCCTGAGGGATGAGCAGTTTTCCAGAACAAAGGGTGCGGAGGAGCTCACCACATAAATGAATTCCAAGTTTAAAGGCCTGGAGGGAAGGAGACCCTGACCTGTACATTTGTTCCACTGTCCCCTGGGTCACCTGCTGTCATTCCAGCTCACTGTCACATCCTCAGGAGGACCAGCTTCGTTCTGGGCAATTCCAGGACATGTGGGTAATGGATCACCCACCTCCGAGCTCCTGGTCCTCCACATCCCTGTGCTCCGTGCTACCTTAGTCACTCACGCCCCAGGCCTGGGGTCACACTCTCCTTCCGTGAAGAACCAGCAAGTAGATATTTTAGACTTGGAGGTCTTAGGGTTTCTGTAACATCCAGAAACTCTGCTGTTGTAGCCTGAAAGCAACTGTGCATAGTATGCAGAATGACCAACTGTGTTCCGGAAAAACTTTATTTATACACACAGGCAGCAGGTGAACTTGGCCCATGGGACGTAGCCATGCCAGTGCCCTAGACCTTGGCACTCCTGATCAGCACAGCATCATCTCAGTTTCAAGCCTCCCACACCTCCCACCCAATCACCTCCTGTCCCTTCCTCACTGGCACCTGCAAGCTGCAAACCGGTGCTTCTGTTTTCTCCCTCGTGTATACTCTGGTCTTTCTCAGTCTTGATTGTTCTTACTCTGGTGAAATCCAGCTCCCTGTGTGCCATACCTGGATCTGGGCACCGGACAAGGCAGGATGATGACATTCCATCACGCTGGCTGGTCTCACCTTCATTTCATGATCAGTGAACTCCAGGGGGGGAGTCCCTGGTGCCCAGCAGTGACAGTGTATGAGTTTCTATTGCTGCTGCAACAAACAAACTTAGTGGCTTGAAGCAACATGATTTCACCTTCTTACAGATTTGGGGGTCTGAAACTGAGGTGTTGCCAGGACTGTTGGGCTCTAGTGGGGAGCTGGTTTTGAAGGCCATCCGGGAGAAGCCAGCTCCTTGCTCTCAGCTCCCAGAGGCACCTGCATTCTTTGGCTTGTGGCTCTTCTCTCCATTGTCAAAGACAGCACTGGGGCATCTGGAGTCCAGTGTCCCCTGCATCCCAGTTATAGAGCCCTTGTAATTACAATGGACCTGCCCAGATAATCCAGGATACTTTCTCCATTTCAAGATTTTGCAAGGTTTCTGGAAGTTCAGATGCTGATGTCTTTGCAGGGGCCATTACCCAGCCTTCCATCCCTCCCCCCATCCACTTACTTTCCTGACCTTAGAGGGGCTAGTTCACACCCTCTTCTTCCTCCTCAAGCCCTATCCTCCCCGCTCCCATATACTTCAGTTGGGTACCCGGATGCCTAGTTCATAGAGAAAATAAAATACACAAGAAAATGCTCAGATTTGCACCACCATGTCTCCCTTCCCACCCGCATCTGCATCCACATCCTGGTCTTCACCGTGACTGTGGCTGGGGACAGTTCCTCCTCTGCACAGGCTCTTTGCGTCTCTCCTCACTCAAGAACGATGCTTCACACGACTCTTTCTCCCTCATATCAGCTTCCCCGTGTTCCAGTTCTTTCCTGTCTGTGTACAAACACATGAGCATGTATCCCGTGGACAAAACAATGCACTGCCTCCCACCCACAGGATGGCTACTATCAAAAAAACCCCAGAAAATTTCAAGTGTTTATGAAAATGTGAAGAAAGCCATGCGGGATGGCTCAATGCCTATAATCCCAAGGTGAGAGGACTCCCTGAGCCCAGGGGTTCGAGACCAGCCTGGGTAACTTGGCAAGACCTCTTCTCTACAATAAATCAAAAAAATTAGCCAGGCGTGGTGGCGCATACCTGTAGTTCCAGCTACTTTTGGAAGGCTGAGGCAGAAGGATCGCCTAAGCCCAGCAGGTTGAGGCTGCAGTGGCCGTGAGCATTCCACTGCACTACAGCCTGGGTGACAGAGTGAAACTCCAGCTAAAAACAAAAAACCGCAAATTCCTGACCCACAGAAACCACCAGCAAGAATGGTTGTTGTTTTAAACCACCAAGCATCTTTTCAGGAATGTCAATAAGCAGTGGATTACACTTCAGCACTTTAACTTCCTCCAACGCACATATGTCACACAAATGAACAAAAGCCTCAACCAGCAAGTAAAACCCAAGCCAGAACCGGTGGCAGCTCCTTTCCTTGAAAAAACATCTTCAGGTCAAGTTAACCAGAAATATATGAGATGAGACCTCTTTTACCCCCCAGCCTATCTTTGTCCAGAAAGCCAAATGAAAAGGAATCGGCAGTACTAGAGTCTGCCTCAACTGTGGAAAGCTCAATAGAGTTGAGAAAAGGGACAAAAGAGGAAAAGCAGTGGAAAGAAATGATACTGCATGTGGGTAATTTGCCAGGAATTTTGGCTCAACTATGTAAGATCAAACTCACAGGGTCTTTGGAGCTGTCCTAGGTGTGTTGGGGTATGGACCGCTTTTTATTAACTTTTTTTCCTTTATTTTAAAGCTGTGGGATACAATTCAGGGTTAGGTATACAAATGTTCATTATGCAGGTACTCTTGATGAGGTGTGCCCCTCCTTCCCCTGGCAGTTTTCCTCAACTGCCAATCCCAACCCCCTCGCCCGCGACCCCGCAGTTTCCCACTACTGCCAATCCCTATTTTATAGTATTATGACAATTGTTCAAGGTCCGCTTATGAGTGAGAACATGTGGTACTCTATTCTTTGCTTCTGTGATAGATCACTGAGCATGATGGACTCTAAATCCATCCAAGTTGCTGCAAAGTCCATATGTTTGTCCTTCTTTATGACTGTGTAATATTTCATTGTATGTATGTACCCTTTTTAAACATCCAATCCAGCTTCCACGGGCAGCATGGTTGGTTCCATGTTTTTGCTATTGTGAATAGAGCTGCAACAAACATGCGTGTGCAGGTATGGACTGCTTTTCTGAAAGGAACTTTGGAACCAGATCTTTTTTTTTTTTTTGAGTTAGATCTCACCCTGTCACTCAGGCTGGAGGGCTGGAGTGCAGTGGCATGATCATGCCTCACTGCAGTCTTGACCTGGGTTCAGGTGATTCTTCTCCCTCAGCTTCTCAAGTAGCTGGGACTACAGGTATGCACCACCACACCTAGCTAATTTTTTTATTTTTATTTTTTATTTTTGTAGTGACAAGGTGTGGCTATGTTGCCTAGGCTGGCATTGAGCTCCTGGGCTCAAGCAATCCTCCTACCTTCGCTACCCAAAGTGTTGGGATTATAGGTGTGAGCCACCCACCCAACCTCATGTGATTTGGTTACTACGACCATCCTATAATTTATATACAGCATTATTATTATCCCATCTTTTTTTTTTTTTTTTTTGAGTTGGAGTCTCACTCTGTCGCCCAGACTG